CACTAGCCCTGAAGCTGCTGGTAGACATCGCGGTTACAATTATCAAAGGTTTTTGACACCCGAGAGACACCGTAGCAACTCCTGGAAGCGGGGATGGGGGTGGGGAGAGGACCAGGGAGGATGATTCAACCAATAGATGTCGCTGAAAACAACAAATCCTACACACTGTGCCTTTAAAGAAATGGTAAAATGCAAAATTGGCTTTGTTGAGCTTTTTATCATGTTATAATGTTGTTCCCTCGTCAAAAACATGCCCAGAGTGTTGCTTTGACTCATTCATGCATGTTTAAGAAATCCTTGATTTTCCTGTGGTAGCCATGTGGAGCTGCCCTAAACGCTTGCTGCTACAAAGCACCGCCCATTTGTACAAAGTTCCTCCCTGGAGCTCCATCTCCTGCCCCACAGCATTGTTTGAAAAGTTGCTGAAGTGCCTGGAAAATAAGTAAAACCCTCCACTTTAATGGCTTTTTTTATTCTTTACAGTACTTTTAAACTTTTAGTCATTTTAAAACCAATACTTTCACACTTTCACTTGTAAAAAAACAACTTTAGTTGGAATTTCTGCTTACAAAAAAGTATTTTTAAACCCTTACTTCTACTTAAGTAATGAATACTTTTGACACCTTTGGTCAGCAGTTCCATGAGGCAGAGGGATGAAGGTGCGAATTATTTACCTTCTACATCCCACCCAATCCACTTTAACAAATGGTTAAATCTCTAGAGCTAACTCCGAAAACAGGAAATCTGTGCAGATCCCCACCCCCTCCACCCCCCCAGGAGATGGTGTGTGTGTGTGCGTGCGATAAATTAGCATGAGTGACAAAAGCGCGAGGATTACCTCGAGCTGTGCATTCAATTAACATGACAACGACACAGTGGTCCTTTGAGTCCGACACAGGCACCTTTCTGTGAGGACTGGAGCTGCGCAGATACATGTCAACAAGCTGCAGGAGGACAAAGAGGGTTTAAGTGGTTCCAGACTCCTGCATGGAGGAGAGCTCCCTCCTCTGCCATGTCCCTTTGAAACCAGGAGAGCTGTTCCAGTCAGGAAAACGCACTTCAGCAACAGTTCAGACACGTTCAAAAGTTCACAGCAATTAAAAGGAGGTTCAAGAAAAAGCAGACTTCGATGAAAAGACGTAAAAAAAAAAATCACTCACCGTTACATGTTCCTGCTGGAAACAAGACAAGCATCCAGAGAACAGTCCCGAGGGGGGCGGCCATGGCACTCCTTTAACTTTTCATGCGATTAAAATCTATATATTTCTTTACGAACTGAACTTTTTTCCCTTTTGTTCCCTGGCTTGTGTTCAGCGGCCGGACAGGTCCAGCTCGCGCAGGAGCCGCGTGAAGGTGCGAACCAGTTTCAGATTCCAGGAGGGAAACAAAGATGCGTTCATCCCGGGCAGGAACAGAGAGCAGGAAGGACGAGAGCCGCCGCTTCTCCTCCTCCACCTCCTTCTTCTTCTTCCCAGCTGCTGCTCCTTGAAGTGACCGCCGTGTCCTCCTCGAGCTCAGAGGATGATGAGAGACTTCAACAGGGGGCACGTGCGCGCTCACACGCGGTGCGCACGAACCCTGTTCTCAGC